ATATATATATATATATATATATATATATATATATATATATATATATATATATATATATATATATATATATCCAACCATCTGTAAAATGTTACAATCAGCTGACAGTCACGTTTTTGAAACCAGTGGTGTTAAAACACCTGCTTGAGTTTCACAGTTAATACATGAAATATGTTTTTTGGAATTTCCAAATATGATTTGAGATGAGATGAGTTGATGACTCAGAGTTACTAACAATGCAAAAAATAAAGACAATAAAAAACAGCAAGACAAAAGCAGTTTCATACATTGTGCTGATTAACAATTAGAGCCTCTAGCTTCTGATTCATCATTTTGTAGTCATCACAGATCAGTCATTCCCAGGAGTTTACTGACCGTCACCTGGTTTACTCACTCACCTGAGGAACTGTAATGTCTACAGGGGGCACAGTCTATTGTTTCATATGAATATCCCTTTTATCCTAATCTGTACAAAGCAGGTGTGGCATTTGGAAAGTAGGAATAGGACTAAAATCTGAAAACGCTTGTTTTTAGAACAGTAAATATTCATAAGAACCAACAGATGTCATATACACTTTTAGAAATATCCAAAAGAGACAACTTATAAGGCCAAACTGAGGTGTCTGCTAGAACGGCACTTTCACTGTAGTGTCTGCTAACACCTGTTGAACTTGGGCAGATATGATCTGTAGCCACGTTGACTTTTGAAGCTAGGAAGTAAAGCAAGTTCTCCACTCCTCAAAACAGGTGCTAAATATCAAAAGAACAATTTTCACTCTGAATTCACGAGACATTAAACTCACAAAGAAAAAGGATTTATGATGCAGTTCCTGGGTTACACAGTCACCGTTTAAGAACTCTTTGTTAGGATTTTTTTTAAATGTGCAATAGGGCTCTTTGCACAGGGTGCTCCTATGTCACCGAGCCATCCGAATGCAAATAAATAAGGGAGAAGGGATCTTATCCATCAGTCTACACCCAGATTAGTTGTCTTTGCTTGTCTGAGTTTCAGTACACAAGGAGAGGACAACTGAGTAATGCAAACCCTTTACCATAGGAATATGTAGCTCAACAGCAAAATGCCCAAAACCTCCTTAGCTGGTATACAATTCAGGATTCATAGCCTGCCAAATAAGACATCTCACAGATTTTTGTGTTTTTGTTTTTTCAGCTTTAAGCAGAATCCATTATCAGTGTACAAATAAGTAATTTTTTAAGTTTTTAAATAATAATAAAAATAATAATTGGTCCATCAACCATCTTTTGGATGCAAAAAAATGCAATGAGAGTATAATCAAGAACCAAAATTAGCACACTGCCATCCAGATCAGGGTGAATCATGTCACATGATTCACTCAATCCTAGCAGGTCAATACACCCTGAAGCAAAGGCGGCTTCAATTTTTCCATCTCTAAAATTTTCTCCACAGGTTGCCGGGTGGCTGGGAAATGAAGAAAAAAAAAAAAAAAAAAAGCAAAAGACTTCCGACGGATTTTGGATAAGCAACAGTTCCTACACAGACCAGATCAACAGGCTGAAACAATAGAAGGATGTCTAAAAATAAAAAGATTACATGCCTGTGCAGTGGTTTGGGTAGGAAAAATGCAGGAACCTATAACATTTCACACTGTTCCCTACAAGGGGACATGTAGAAAAGAGAGGACAACAGAGGGATGAAGGACAGGAAGGACAGAAAGGACCTGAGGAGACAATGAAGAGACAGGAATGGGGTGAGAGAGAAGAAAAAGATAAACACTCTGGTCTTGCCAGTCATATTTCTGGTCTTGGATTGTATAAACATCCTGCTCAGCTTAGAATAACAGAACATTGCCCAATAAAACATGAAGGGGCACAATGAGGAGGAAGTGGGAGGGTATTTAGCGACAACTTTACCTGGGATGAAACAAATGCCTTTGGGTCATTTCAAGCATCAAAGATTGAAGGACATGTCCCCAAAAGGGAGACTTGATACCACCTTATAATCTTTTAGAGAAGTTTGAGACAGATGGAAGGCTTTTTTAATTTTTACACCATTAATCCAACCCCATTGACATTTCCACGCTGACAACAGATGATAAAAAACTAAATGTAATCTACCGGTATGTGTACTCCAGAGTTCAGCTGTAAAGAGCTGCTACCATATTGGCCTTTAATCAATGATGTTCTGAGATTTGGGATATCAATATAACCTAATTTGGTTGACATAATTTGAAGAGATGTTGACCCCCAGGTCCCTAAAGTTGTTGATTCTTTTATCCAGAATTACAACTAATTGCATAATAACCCCATTTTTAAACACTCAACTCAAATGATGGTTTAACAGTCTTGAGCTCTTTGCCTAAAGATCGACCTTACTTTAAATCTATACCTTTTGTCATAATCCTGACTAGTTTCTGTCAGACATGCCAAAGTCCTTCTGCCCACATCGTTTGCCCTTACTGGATTTCAACACCCAAGGAGCAGTAATCTGTAAAAGTAAAGAATCTGCATCCGTCATCATCAACATTGTTTGCCGCAGCCACCCAGCAGTTCCCACTACTATGATCATAAATATTCACCCATGTGGCAACATGAGCAAAGCTGCTGACAGTTCAGGCCCACTTGATGTTTCCCCACCAGCCAAGTCGCATAACCTGGCAGGTACAGCTGGCAAACACTCAACTCCTCTACCAACAAGTTGTGTCACTGCCAACAAAGTAGATTTTTCGTATCATTGCTCTGAAGCACAGTGTTTTGCTTTAGATGCACTGGAGACAGACCCACCTTGTGAGAAACATCCCAGCTATGCTACCTAATTACATTAGGAACTCCTGCTATAAGGAAATAACTTCCTGAAAGAGATTAAATAAAAAAAAAGGCGACCATGTGCCAAGTGCAAGAAAACAAAGACAGGAAAAAAGTTGTGGCTACAGTAGAGCTAGATTCTTGACTTCCTGGTAGAGACAGAGGCGCCTGAGGTTTTAATGGTGTTTGCAAAATGAGATTTCAAACAACTTGCATATCTTCCAAACCATTTTGCTGTGTAATTTGTCTGTGTAAGAGTCTAGTATTTCACTTTTGTGCTCCAAGTAAATGTTTAAAGTAAATGTTCCTTTAAATGTCAAAGCACCTGCAGCTACTAGAGATTAATGAGGAGAAAGGTGAATCTTTGCACACTGAATATAGCATGGAGTACAAAAATAGAAGTTTAAGAGAAGAAAAGTCAAACTAATGTGGACACTCAAAAGAAAGGTGGAGATTTGAAGGAATATGGGGGGGGGGGTGGAAGACCTTAGATTTGCCTACACCTTTAATCCGTGTAACCCTGAAATTTTCCAAGTTCAGGGGCAACACCCGACAGATCTGAAAGGAAACAAGAGTGGGTGTAGAGAAACAAAGGTGGCTGATTCAGAGGGAAATCACCAAACAAAGTCAACCTCAAGCAGCTCTTTCATAGTTCTTCCGCCTCAGGTATAAATCAACAAAGTGCGAGGATTTTTATGCAAACGGATAACCATATTCTTACAACAGGTTCACAATAAAGTGGCATAAAAAACAAAATATAAACAAATCCAAGCCAGTAACAGGTGTCATTAGAGGAGATGCGGGTACTCACCAGTAGATCTGTGGTGAAAATGCAGACATGAATTCACACCTGCTGTCAATTCCGTCAAATCTGATTATTAATTAAAAGTTTTTAATTGCCTAAGATGCTCAAGAAAAGCGAAAGTAACAGTGCAGCAAGTTGCACAGCCCAGACAAAGAGATCGGTTCCGCCAATTGATGCGTCTGATCAGAAAGCCCAGCTGGATTCACTATTTATATGAGAGGCGGTGCGCTCAGCCTGCCTTCAGCAGGAGCCCGAAATCCTCAATGGCAGCTCATTGACTGCGGCGGCCAATCAGAGCGCTCCTGACTCACGCCTCCATCAACGGGGGTCCGCCCTCAGCCCTGATGACGCAAGCAGTGACAGAGGCAGCTCATTGGGAATGGAGGGGTGAGATGCGGCAACTTGCAATTGATTTGTAGTCTCCAAGGCAACAAAATGAATCTTACATCCCCTCCTCCCTTTTTGAATGACCAAAAAAACGCGCTGATTTGTCCGTTAGGTGATGCGTGATATCCATCCAAATAAGCAAGAGAGGCGGATTCATTCACAAATATATTCCAAGGGCAAATCAATGTCTTGGTCCATAGACACAGATTGCCTTTGCAAACTCATAATAAACCCCATTGAAGCTTATGGAGGATGTTTTTACCTTTTTCTCAGCTATGCCTATATTCGCTGTAACCTCTACAGCACAACTGACATTGGCGCCTTACAGAATTGCCCCCTTTCTCTATTTAATTCTATATATTTGGGAATTATTAAGGAGGTGTTTTGCATTTTGCAGAGTAGACAGCATAAAAAAAAATATATAAAAAAATTAAAAACAATTTATTTAAATAAGGATAGGTGTGACTTTACCGCCACCCTGTGGCTGAAAACCAGCAGTCTCATTTACAACAGCAGGTGGCAATCCTGTTCTTTGTGCATTACTGGCCGCAAACAAAAAGTTAAAAATTCCCTGACACCAGTTATTAGCTTTTCTATTCAGCCAAAACTGAATTTAAGTCATCAAAAAAAGAAAAGAAATTAGTACTACTACTTATTGTAGCAGTAGTTGATGACTAAGGCAGCTAAATCAACTAGTATAATTGTAAAATATTCAGCAATATAGTTGAAAGGTAAATATCTGATTCGCAATCCACATATTAGTTTACTTCTATCCTTAAATATGCACGGACTACTCAAGCCTTAAAGTCAAGATGCTAATTAAAATCCACATTACTGTAAACTAATTATAGTGCCAACATAGCAGGTGTACTAAAATGCCTCTAAAGAGTAAAATGGTTGACCAATAGCACTGCTTTTAGCCCAGTTTTGAGTTAGGAGGGCCTAATATGCCCATTTATTTGATAGCTGATTCCTTATGTAGAAGATGTGCAGCGTGTACTGCAGGTTAAGTAATTGCAGGATAGTGTATGGAAAACCCTTTGTGTAAATAATAGGTTGCAGTGAAATCAGTCAATATGTCGAGTAAATAAAACTTTTCCATGATTCAACATTTTATTCCAGATATATATATAAAAAAATACCTTTGCAGATAATATCTTAAGACAACTAATTTGAGTTGAACTTAGTGAGAAGAAAACTTGCTAGAGATGCAAAGTTCAGCTGGGGCTCAAACGTCCCCACTTGTAGGGTTATCAACACATTGGTTGACAACAACTTCAAATCAGTCATTGAATAAGACTTTCACATTTACTTATTAGCACTTAAAACTCCAACATATTATACAGTTTACTCATAATTTATGATTCTTTAAAATAATGTGGGCAGAGGTGGACTTGACTGCTAAATCTTTCAAAGCACAAAGGTTGACACAAGGTTTTCTAAATGATGCCCATCTTTATAAGGCAACCACTTCATGAATAACACAATATGTTTTTAATTAATGTAAGAATAAATCAAGTTTTAAGGATAAAATACACACTAACTAGAGTTAAGCCCCAAATTATTCATCCTCCTGACTGTTCAAAGTGATCTGTCAGGAGTTTAAAGTGATCCTTATGGATCCATATCTGTCAGGTGTATGAATGGTCTTGGGGTAAACTAGCATTTATTTCAATTTTCTGCAGTTCATTATCTTGTTTGAGAAACATCTAAAGCTCTGGAGAAATAATATTTTCCTAATATGAACTTTTAAATGATCGCATGGTGGGGAAGTGAGCACTGTTGTGCAGCACCTAATCCTCGCTGTAATGGGGACCTTTCTGTATGGAGTTTTCTTTTTCCCCTAAATTATCATCTGACAGAATTGAAAGTTGCTCAATGTTCTTCTTCTGGTAAATTAGAGCTTTATACATTAGAGGAAAATTTAAATGAATCTTTTGCACAGTATCATAGGAGAGAAGCCTCAGACTTCAATTCATTAAAGTGTAAAGAAAATCTCATTAGGTAAAGGCAGTATCTAAATAAAAATTGTTGCTTGTTAAAACAGTTGCTGGACCCCATCCCAAAAAACTGGGCGACACATGAAACGAGCTATGACAGAAACAGGAGAGGAGCAATATTTTTCTTTTCTTCTGTCTCAAAAAGTGCTCTAACTAATTTGCGGTGATGCAACCAATCAGTTTAAACTCACAGCAGAAAAGATAACAGAAAAGTTTAATAAAGCTGATTTAAAACTCAAATGTGAAATAGGAAACTTCTTTCCACTCTCCATTCAGCTTTGCTGTGGTTGGCTGGGATAAATCAGTGGCATCCTCAAGTCACTACATGGTTAAGGTTTTGCTGATGAAAACTGACCACAAGATGGCACTAGTGTCTAAGAATCTGTCCTTGAACAAGGGCTCAGTAGAGGATTATATACAATAGGGATGATAGAAAATGTGGGAAATTTTGTCTAAAGCTGTAACAAAAAATAAAAACATATCCAGAAAACTGTAAAACAGAAAACTCACACAATAAAAACAAAATGAAAAAGAATTATGTACACAAAAATATCTTATACATGAGTGATACAGTAAATGCAGCTTTAAATGTATGTAACTATTGGAAAAATACAATGGTTTTTAATCTCATAAGGTTCCCTTTAACAAGATTAAGTTTTATTATCAAACTATTGTTTGTTCTGGTGCCTTTTTATTTTATTATTTAACACATCATTCCTTCTAATATGAAAATGTTGTTATTGTCTCTCTGTTAGCATCTATCAATGTCATCATGGCTGAATTTATATTGTGAATTTCCAGCCATACAGACCAGTAAACGCGCTTAAAACTCATACACTGATATCAGATCAGTAGGTAGCTTGGAGTTCAAAGCCTCAGCTAGGGTCACATAAAAATGTATCTGACAGGAGGAATAATTACCAACATGGGACTGATTCTGCCAATGTTTTTGATCACTGATATAATTATCAACATTTTAACAAAAGCACAATTTCGTACATGAAAGTTGGTTGGTTTATATGAACACTAAATTCATCCATCCATTCATCCATTATCTGACACGCTTGTCACAATTGGTGTCGCGAGGGGTGCTGGTGCCTATCTACAGCAGTCAATGGGCGAGAGGCGGGGTACACCCTGGACAGGTCGCCAGTCCATCGCAACACTAAATTCATACAGTTTTTTTTATATTAAATACTCCAGAAATTGCATAAACCAAATCTGTGTTTAGATTCAGCAAATGTTTTCCAAAAAGTTTCACAATCAAACAACAAAAGTGCTCAAATAACATATTTTGGCCAATCTTAATGGGCACAGTTACCAGAAATTTGGCTATAAATTATAAACAAGCCAAAAGCAATTCTAGGCCCAATTAACAACCAACTTAATTAAACTCTATCTTTCTGGTGATCAAGCGTGTAATATCCAAAATCAGTTTGCTTAGGTCGTAGCAGAGGACACCAAAACTCATCTAGGAAGTTATAAAAAGAAACTCAGTGGCTGTGCCCGAACATCCTCCCTAATCCCCTACATAGAGCCCTATATAGAGGTTATGCCATTTTATATGAGTGTCAGAATGTTTAGTGGATGAAAAAGTTGTGGACATGGCACCTTAAAAAGTAGTGAGCAACCATGGACACTAGACGAGCAAATATATCCCAGAATGCTTTTTAAGAGCTCAATAAGCATCTAGGGATGCATTAAAAAGTAGCAGGACAACAGCCCTGAGGAACCCCTGCTTCAGAGTTTTTTCTTGTGACAGTGTCTAAAATCCCTGAACAGGGAATAAACCAAAACAAACCAAAAAAAAAACAAAAAACAAACAAACAATTAAACACTCATTAGTTGATATCAGTCAGAAAATAATTATTTACGGTATTTTACAATTAAAGCTAACCAACTATACCTTCATGCAGAGGAACCTAGATAGAAGTTTTACCAATGTCAAAAATTTAACTGAAGAGATACATACATACAGGCACCTATAATGAGAAACTTTTTCATTCTGTTGAAGAAAAATAAAATGTTGTTTACTAATTTGATGCACATGCTGAGAATTAACAGGTTTTACACCCTAAAATGTACCAAAAAAATCACCCAAAAACTTATTACATATTCTATATGTAATAAAGTCCACTAATATATATATATA